CAGTAAACTGTAGCCAGCGAGTATGTTATTTTTGAAATTAACTACTCCATTCATTCATTCAGATTGCCAGCCAGCGTCTGGCTGACCAGGTCCCGATGGTGATCCGTTACCAGATGTTGCAGGAGGTTGCCGAACAACTGCATAAGCAAATGATGCAGATGCTTCTGGACAAGGAGAAGTTAGAGTTCTTGCTGAAGGAGGATTCTGAGATTGGCAACAAGAGAGCTACTTTGCTGAGCCGCAGTAAACGCCTCATGAAGGCCCGTGCGTACTTGGTAAACTTCTAAAGGAGGTCAATCTACTGTACTGTACTGCTTTCACTTGTCGAATATAATACAATTATGGCTATAGGATTTTTTTTTTTTTTTTACTGTGTCCAGTACAAAATGGACAGATTTGCTTTAGATTTACCAGCGAAGTCAAAACAGGTCATTATTGTTATTTTAAATGTATTGCTATTTTCACTCAGAGCAAGGATAAAGCATTGCATCATGTAAAAATGGCTGTTATTTAGGAAATAGGCAGAGTGTTAATGTATAATTATAGAAATGAAAATATTCAAATTTCAATAAATATTCAAATGTATAAATAATGTTTTGACTTGAATAGACTGCGTGTAATATTCCAGCTTGCTTTTAAAAGACTAATAAATCTAGTCTTTTAAAAGAAATGTCATTTTTTCCTTAAACAGATCTTCTTCCAGGACACCTTAACTGAACACTGCGTTTTAGACAGACAGACCTGATTTAGATTTTCTTTGGCATATGGTATTTTATCGATTGTGCATATCAGTTTAAAGCATGTATAAACCAGGAGAAGCACAATTTGCTGTGCACTTTTTGTTGCATGATGTCAAGGACAGTAAACTTTGCACATTAAAATTGCCCCTGGCTACACAGAGTACTGGTATAAAAGTATGTATTTTTGCTCCACCTTGTGGTTCTAGAAAGAAAATAGTGCAAAAAAAGTCTCATTGTGACAGAAAAACCTAAGCTAAATCTTAAACAAATATTTTTACTAATATACCGGAGCTGCGTTTAAAAACATATCTGTCCGAGTAGGATGTAGTGACCACAAACTGATCATGGTAACAAGAAAAACCAAACTCCCCAAACCTGGCGTTAAGATTGTATGTCACAGATCTTATAGGATATTTAATGTCAACGATGAGATAAACTGGTCTTATGTGTACTTATGTGTAAAAATGAAATGAACAGTGCCTTGAAAGTATTCATGGATAAAATAGCAAAACTGGTGGATAAACATGCTCCAATAAGGAATGATTGGTTAAGAATAACAGGGCATGGCTCACTGATGATCTGAGGTCCATGATGCAAAAAAGGGACAAAGCCATAGCGGATGCAAATATATTGGTAGTAGTAATAATAATAATAATTGGCAGCTAATGGGGTATCCATTAAACTCCAGTCCAGTTACTGTGACCAAAAAAAAAACAAACAAACCCACTGATAAACATTAATTAATGCTTTCTCTTGATCAATAACATTTGTCTTGTATACTGTATGTATACCAATCTGATGCATTTCTCTATTACAAGGTGCATTTAGATCATGAAATCCTTGTCAGTCCAGAACCTTAAATGATTTCAAATAATGAGGTAAACAACATTTTTTATTTACTATAAAGACAGTTACAGGTATAACAATCTACTGTTTTGGTAAAGAAACTGAACAAACCTAGCATAGACAAGTCTGGTTCATTGAAAAATAAAAGTAGTTCATTTAATTTAATTCAGTCAGGATCAATACATGTTCATTCACCATTCTCTGCAGGGCTCTCCTGATTGTTGTCGTCACTGTCCGATTTCTCATCATCTAGGAGAGAGAAACATTAGTTGGGCATTGGTACCTCTGCCTTTTCTAAACTTTACAGATGAAACGTTTTCTGGTTTGTTGTACAGTGAAGCAACTAATGAGAATAAAGATCGTGACACATGTACACTGTAAGCACAAATGAGAATAAAGATCGTGACACATGTAAGCACCTAACTGTAAGCACATAACATGAAACACAGCACCCACATCCTTGTTTACTCACTCTCCAGAGTCTGCTGTAGCTCCTGTATGGTGCAGAGCAACACATGGAACTGCTTCTTCCTTAATTCCAACTGAGCATGACAAAGGGGGGGTAAAAAAAGATATTAAAAATGATGAAAGGCATTAAAGGTTAGAATTGAAGACATGATAAATGTATTTGTCTTTACCTTTGCATCCACATTCTCTTTGATGTGAGACAAGTGCTGGAGTTCTTTGTCAAGTGCCTCCAACTGCCTGTAAAGGAAGAGCGCAAAACTGAGCACAAACTGCTCTGACATGTTAAGCAGAAAAAGCAGAAATGCACCGACTTACTTTAGTGTTTCATGCCGGTCTGGGTGTTGCTGGATAACCTTAGCTAAAGCATCATACTCTGAAAAGAAAGGAGGAGGAAGCAGAGGGTGTGAAAGTACATTTTTATATCATTTGACAACATACTCCTCAAAGAAATGTGTTTTTGATATTAAACTATGTAAAACTGTTTTTACTTTTACATGGTGACACTATACCTCTAACAATGCCATTGGCCTTCCTCGTTATATAGAG